GAAGTTACACAGACAGTTTGCCGACTGGACCATTGCAATCCCAAACAAATTTGTCACCACACAACTCCTACAACTTTCCAAGCTCTTTCGAATGGGAAGGACAGGGGGCAGTCAACAGATCGAGCGCCGTTTAACACCAAAAAAGGCTGTCGCAACAGGAGGTTTCCTCTTTGCCCCAATCCCAGATGCACATATTAAAGTAAAGGGGCCCAACAAAGGGGCCAACTTGCGGAAAAGTCGTACCAATTGATTTGACCGCCCGCCAATCAAAGGTGCCTCTTTGCCACATCCCACCACAAACGCAGCCAGCAAGACTACTTGTCTCTTTTCAAGCCTTGGAACATAACAAGCAACCCTTTTTTTGCCCTTGCAAACACATTTCCGCACAAGTTGTTGTGGGGGGCGGGGCCTTACAGAGAGCCTCCAGATTTTGATTCTCTATGTTTTTGAAAGGGAAATTTGTTGGAAGTAAAGAGCGCCGCGATCGAAGCGGTTCTGAGATATCAAATGGATGTTACCATATTGGTATTCCTGTTTTGCCCGGAAAAAAATCCTGAATCCTGACCTCCAAGCTGGCGCAGGGCCACCCACTCGTGCGCGTAGAGGGCACGGAAATCTTCGAGCAGGACGCTCCTTGGTTCCCGTGAGACACGGGCTTGTGTCAAAATAGGGGGACCCCTAAAAGGTGGATGCTCCTAAGACCTTGGACGCACACACAGCACACACACACACACACACGCAGTGTGTTCTGAGTGCCCCCCCTTTATGGGTGGCTTTGAAAGCTTGACTTTGACTTTTCCAGGAGTCTCGATTATTTTGGGGCCTCAGAGTTGGTTGAGAAGAGGTCTCAAGAACCCTTGAAAGTCTCCACCAAAAGGTGCGGGAGAAACCAACCCCTTGAAACCAACCGCTGGAACACACACTGAGTGTGTGTGTGTGTGTGTGTTGTTTTAAGCCTGCTGCTGGGGTGAGTTTGAAGGGGACTGCTGACGTGCGATCCGACGCGTAACTCTGTGTGGGTGTTTGGTTTAAGGTCAAGAACAATTTCGACGTGGTGCTGCACTTGCTTTGCAAGTACGGTCTGCGCCTGCCCCCGGTGAAGGTCTTCTCTGAGACGTGGCATCAGTCATAGTTTTGGGAGGATCCTTTTTTGCTTACTTCTTTGTGTTACATATTTATGTATCACACAAACATGCACACAGTATCGGACTCGCTGTTTGACACCAAGACATTGCGCGAGCGTAACGAATTGAGCAGCTTCCGGCGATCGGGTGTGACCAAGCATGTTCCGGCGCTTTTCGGCACGGTGTCCACACGACCTTCATTGCAATCTTCTTGCGGCGTTTGCTCTTGACGTAGGCAACTGTGCGGAAACGTAGTGACTTCACGCTGATGTATTGCCACGCTGACGCGCGGACGTAGTGACTTACGTAAATGCATGAGCGCCGCGCCAAGATTTGCGCCCCAGCCCAGGATGCTTTCATCAAGGTGAATGAGACGCATGGTGTGCTTGCGGCTGATGCTGTGGGCACCAGGGCGAAGAAGCGCCTGGCCCGCGAATGGGCCAGCTGTCAGGGGGGCCGATGCAGAGCCCTGGTTCGGCACACGATCAGGTTGGCGTCAAGATCTCCGAACTCGCGCGACGAGCAGGTACAGGCATTGAAGGACCTCGTCACGAGCCTGCTGGGTGACGGCAGCGAGGTGGACACGGCGGACGAGGTCGAGGCCGCCCAAGCTCTCAGTGCCAGCGCATCTTGGAAATCGCAGGATTTTCTGCGCGTGTAGAAGCCACATACACATATATATATATATATATATATATATATATTTATTTACACATGTGTAAATGTATAAGTTTAAATGCGCATAGTCACACAGAACTACATACATTTTATACATATATTGTTCTATTCTGTCACGTCTGGCTTTTTCTTTTCGGGGGCGGGGAGCTGTGGACGGATCAACTCGTCCCCCATAAAGACTGGACATGTGGAAATGGGGAGCTCTGCGGGATTGAGGGCGCAGCCAAGTCTGAGTTGCACTACACCCGAAACCATTTGAAACCTTTCAGGGCCTAAGCTTATATATTATAGTGTCAGTTGGGCCCTAGGGTTGGCCCGCAACTGAAAGGAAGTTTGTGCAACGCGCAGGGGATTGCCGAACATGCTGCGCTAATGGGGGGAATCCCCCGTAGTTTTGTAAAGCCTGAAACGACGCCTTCCAACGAATCCGATGTCATTATGCAAAAAATGGAACCCACCACTGGTACGGGTTTATTTGCCTTCTTTTTGAGAACCCTGCGAACCAATTGGTGGTAGGGGGTGTGAGGGGACGTTTGTGAGGCATCGGACATGCACGACGTTCCCGGTGATGATGAGCCCATGCCCATCCAGGAGAAAAAGAGGGCCTCACCCTTCAGTAAAAGAGATCCCCAAAAATAAAGGGTCACATGCCACGACACCAATCCTGCAGGAGCTGGCCGCGCAGCCAAGCGGTGCCGACGAGACACCTGCAGGACCCAACGCTAGGGATGATTTGGTTGTTGCTGTATTGGTTTTGGTTTTGGTCCGGGCCGGGTTTGGCTCTCTTTGACTTTGGCTGGCTACTGTAAGTGGATGGTGGTGGGTTGGTTGATTGGTTGGTTGGCTTGTTGCTTGCTTGCTTGCTTGCTTGCTTGGTTGGTTGGTTGGTTGGTTGGTCGGTTGGTTGGTTGGTGGTTGGTTGGATTGTTTTCTGTCAGTGGCAGCATCTTCCCGGTCCCCAGAAAACAAAAAACAAGTGTCTTTCCTACACAGGATTGGACATTTGATATGATCAATGTCCTTTCAAATGAATAGCTTGAGCCCCTGCCCCAATTGCAGCCATGACACCAAATTGGTGAAACCAACACAAAGGACTTTGGGAGAACATGTGTAAGCCCCCATCTTCAAGCTTCTTACACTTTTGCTCTCTTTCTCTCTCTCTCTCTCTCTCTTTCCCCTTGTCTCTGCTTTCAAGGCTGTTCATCTAACATTCCAAGCTAGGTTGGAAAGATGTTGTTTAAAATGGTCGAAACAACGTTGCTGTTGTAAGGAGCGATGCTGGATTACTCTGGGGCGGCAATCCCTGCTGCAACCAGATCTGGCTAAGCGCCTCCATTCACAAGCGGTCGGAGCAGAATCCATGGGGGGATCGCAGGTTTAAGTGACGCTTGGCATCGCGCTTAACGTTGTTCCGACTCTAGTTTTGCATGTTTTTGGTTGGTGGTGAGCTTGAATCTTGAACACCGATCACTCGCTAAGGCGTACGTGACGCCAACGTCATCAACACCCGCTTCTGCATCCTGGCGTTCATCTGCTTGATATGCCTCCGTTTCGGTATGGTGATGGGGGCTGCCTTCCCCTCACAAAACAGGCGCCGGGCCTGGCAGCTCACGGTGCTCCAAAGGCGAAATCGGGCCTAGCGTGCTCCACTGGGCCAAGAACTTCAAAGTCTCCATGTTTGGGGCGGTCGTTTCTTGTTTTTGCGTCGCCATCAACAGGAGCAAGAAATTTGAGCTTGACCCCGCAGCGTCGGTTTTTTGAAGGGTGTTATAACCTTGACAAGGTGCAACATCCTTGATCCTTGGATCTGCTTTTTGATTGTGATATGTCTCACCTCTCCTTTGAAAAGGAACCGGCCACTGCTGGGAACAATTGTGCTGTTGTCAGTCAACTTTCGCTACAGAGAGTTGCAAAACTCGCTGTGGGAGCGCTGAAGACTTTGCTTGTTTTGCCGCATCCCCAAACGGAGCCCGAAGGCATTCCCGGCAGTCCGTGAGTTTAGAAAGAACTATATGTGACTCGTGGCCTCTTTGACCTAAAAGACTAGAGGACGATTGTCCCGAAAGCATTTTTCCCCAAGCGCTCTTCCAGCCGCGGAGACACCTTTTTACATCGATGCGGCGAGCGTGTTTGCACGCGGCGACGCTCAATGTGTATGGTTACATGAGAGCTCCATCTCATCGTCCTACAAGAGGAAGCATGGCAGTGTTTGCGCAAGCTGCATTTTTCCAACCCCACAAATTGCTCTCTGCAACTTCTGCACGCAAATGACTCGACATCTGTAGGGTGGGGTGGTGCGGGGTGTGGGGTGGGGTGTGGGGTGTGGGGTGGTGTGGGGTGTGGGGTGGGGTGGGGTGGGGTGGGGTGTGGGGTGGGGCGGGGTGGGGTGGGGTGGGGGTGGATGTGGTGTGGGGGAGGTTTGTTTGAGGTGGGGTCTGTTGAGGGGTTGCTGACGGAAGGAGTGCGGTGGTCGATTTTGTATTTTGTTTGTTTGGGGCACATCCCGAACTTGCTGGGGGAAGTCCAGGAACCTCAATTCCCACGACAAACGGGGGGGGAGTTGTGTTTGCGTTTTCTTTCCAGACCTATTCGTTTACCAACTCCCAAAAACGACATGTTCACATGCCCCTAAACCAGATCAAGCCATCTCAAAAGGGTACACTTGGTATTTCTCATAAAAGTCAGATGGTTATATGGCAACCACCCGAGGTTGAATGGTTATATAGTTGTGGGTCACAAATAGGGTAACGCCAAAATGAGTTGCCCCGATAAACGGAATTGTGGAATGGACTAAAACCTGCGGTCCACATCCTGGTGGTTGTGTTTTTGATCCATATAGTAACCATCCGGTTTTCCTGTTGGTCTCAATACCAACATGCTGTGGATGGTTGCGAAATCCATTTCGCACCACCTAATTCAAAAACCATGGAACGATTCAATTTTTGTGTAACTGCCAACAAACGTTCTGGCTTCAACCTTTTGTCTTACAGATGGTGCGAGACTCCCGGATTTTGCGCAACCATGCACAGCATCAAAGTGGCGATCGGTTGCTTAGTAAGTCGGTAATCACCATGGTTATCACCCGCTTGTCATGCTTCTATGTTCCCTATAAGTGAGTGAAAAAGCCAACCTTACCAACCGCTCATGTGCCGCCCTCGGGAATCGACCGCCATTTTTAGTCGAAAAAACTGGGCGGAGGCGAAGAGCATCCAAAGCTTCGTGCAATGGACCCGGGCCGCCTCTCAGGAGTTCCTCGAGGTCCGAAGCCGAAAAGCCGAAGGGTCGGGGGGTGGGGGTGGTGGGGGTGGGGGTGGGGGGTGGGGGGGGGGTGGGGGACTGGGGTGGGGGGGTGTTGGTTCATGTGGAGTGAAGAGCCCTTTGATTTCCAGGTGCTTCGGGGAAGTGAGTTTTTGGGGCTGGTGTTTTTTCGGGAAATCGAAGGAAAGCCGAAGCCGTTTTCGTTGGATCCCCCACAATTTCAACAAAAACCTTTGGCTGCCACTCCAAGGTGCGTTTCCTTTGGGCTAGTTTCCTTTAGGCTGATGTGTTGATGCTGTTTCAGGGGAAACATAGAGAATCTAGGGGGGAACCACAAAACCTGGGTCAAGGGAGAGAACACTAAAGACCTTGCGGCTTCATAAGGTGTTTCCCCTAGTTCAGCCCCTCTTAACACCCCTCTTAACTGAACCAGGGGTAGGTATATTGATCCGTTTCCATGTCTCCCTTTATTTCCAGGCCCTGAAAATTGAATGTTTCGAGTTGGCAATTACCCTGTTTGGGTCGACATGGAATCCATAGGGAACCCGAAGCCACAGCCATGGTGATTCTCAAAATGAGCCACAATCAAAACCCGGGTAGATGAAGGTTAGTAAGGGATAATCCCAGCCACAAATTGCTGCGGATATCCGCCTTCTTAATTCCTTACATGGTTCTGGGTCGACCATTTGAATACCGGGCTTTGATTATGAATTATGACGCAGTAGTTTGACGGTTTGTCTCCAGGCGCACCAAATCACCGGTTGCTTTGGCTGGGGTTTTGAGTGCCCAAAACGCGGCCGACTCGAGGCGTGATCGAAAACTGCTAGGCCGAAGCGGCAGAGGCGGCCAGCCAGCTGCTGGCCAGCGCTTCAGCCGCAACAAAGCGGCGGGTTTCGGCGGCGGATCCGCGCGGACTCGGCGGTTTTCGGCGTTTTTGGCGGGGGGGGGGGGGCAAAACCCACTCTGTGGATCCATGTCTTGCTACAGTAGGTTTTCGAGCTGTGGGTCCGGGCATGTTGCTTTGTTTTGTTTCCGGGGGTTGGACTTGTTGTGGGTGTTGGTCACAAAAGGTGGGCAGAATCCGGTCAAATTTCCAATTTCGCCGCCTGGCGCGCTTCTCGCCGGACATGGCCGCCCGAGGCAACTACCGGCTGACGGGAATTGCAGTGCTGGCATGGTATGGACCACAGTGCGAAGCTTTCAGAAACAGGGTGCCAGAACGAAGGTTTGGGGCTTCCCACTTTGAGTGTCCCCCAAAAAAAGGGGTTGGTTTAAAGGAACTCCCAAGGGACAACAACCATGTTTTGGAAACTCCACAGTCTGATACCTTTTGCGTGTCGCAAAATTGCCAAATGACGAAAAATCGCCCAGAACGGCGATGCCCGGGACAGTGCAGGTTCCTTGTTGCATGGCCGAGGCTCAGCGGGGTGAGGTGGTCCTGCAAATGCGAGGCCTGCGTTTCTGGCGCCTTTGCGCTTTGCGGGGCGTTGAGATTCCTTCTGAACAAGTTTCAAGTGGATGAGTCATGAGTCTTCTTGCTGGGAATTTGGGGATTCCCTGAATGGAAACGACTAGGGGATGGTTTATAGAGGTCATTCCTTCATTCCCTACTGAGCACCAGCAAGTCTTTGTTCAATTGGAACCGCCAAATAAAGACTTTGACTAAGATAATGTTGGTGAGATGTCGAGTTTCCTGTTTGGAACACCCTTGAAGGTGTCAAGTGTCACCCGGGTAAAAGGGGGCCACCGATCTTGGCAACCCGACCGGTGCCACCCATGAATCTGAATTATACCCACCTCACACGACCGAATTCGCCCCAAGTGGTGGTTTGTGGGGAGTAGCCCCCTTTCAGGTTGGTGAAATATCATATTTCACCCAGCTGGATGGTGCTTGCTGCCAGGTGCGAAGATCTGACCTGACGGCAGCGCTTCAGCACCTTTCAGCAGCCCCGGACCCAGTGCCAGCCGGGACGAAGCCAACAGGTGCTAAAAAGGTGTTGTAGAAGAGGTTCTGATCGAAGCTTCATGGAAGCTTCATGGGTGGTTTTGCTTCAGATGAGCCAAGCACTCCCTTTATTCCCTCTTTCAGATTCAAACACTTTTAGGCCCTTGACCGCGAGCATTCGGCACGTTTTTTTAGTCCCGGTTTTTTGCTGGTGGGGCCTGGGTTTTTGCCAATTGAGATGGAATAACGGTAGACGGTGAACCATGGTGCTTGGCTCGTCTGGGAACAAAAGCACCTGGGCACATGAAGCTTCCATGAAGGTTCGATCATAACTTTTTCTGCGCAAAAAGGTGCAACCCTGATCAGAAGGGTGCCTCGTGAATCGCCAACGCATTTACTACTTGCCCACCAAGGGAATGCACGGAAACCGTGTGAAGAAAGGCCCGCGCGGATTTTAACCCCCTAATGGGGATATGTGTTTGTGCGGTCCCCCAGTAGCGCCCTTTTACCGTTTTTTTGGGGAGGGTTCCCCTATCAAAATAGCCTACAGAAAAAAGGGTAATTCCAGCCTCTCTACTCGAGGACCTGGTCTTCTACGGTTCCTTTTTGGCACCTTGCAAGCTCTTCTGGATCCGTGCAACTTGAGGCCAGCCTCATGAAGGATCCTCAACCCCTGACGCATCCTGCCAAGCACCTCGCCTGCAGTTCTAGACTTTTTAAAAAAGGGGCTGGAAAGACACGTAGAAACAACACAACCCAAAAAGAGTAAAGAAAAGAACGACCAGGGAATGTTGGTTTGTCGCCTTTGGGTGTTTCTCAAAATGGGATTCGGACCTTGGTTTGGTTGGTATTTCAAGCAACCGTTTCCATGTTCCACGTGGCTCTGAAATTTTGATTCTTGGAGCACCCGCCCAAAGGGTTCGCGGACATTCCCCGTGAAAATGATGCCCACCACTGGGCCCCCTTCCGCGCAGAAGGGTTCAAAGCAATAGGGCCCAACTTTTGCCAGCCTACCCTTACATGTCCCTACGTGTCACAATGGTCCAAAAGAACGCATCCTGCTTTGAACATTATATCTCCGAAGATACCTAGATGGAAAATAATGGAGTTTGCAAAGCCACTATTTGGAAATTGTTGTTTCAGGCTTCGGCTTAGAATCCACACTCACATTGGTGTGCAGAGTACAATGCTCACCCTGCTCGCTTTTCGGGGCGGGGGGGCGGGGGAAAACATGAAAAGGACCACCCGGCCCCCATGTTTGAGGTGTCCCTACTTAGGGGGCGACCGGGTACTTAGTAGGTGGTTAGTAAGCCTGGCTAAAACCCATTTAGGAGACCTCTAACCATGGCTTTTGTGGGTGATTTCACTGGTGATTGCTCGCTTACTACGTACCCTGCCCCTTCAGTATTGCACTTGTATCCGTTCAGTGGGATAGAACCGGGCTTACTGCTCGCCTGACGTACCGAATCGATCGCCTTACGAAAAACAAACCCAAAGTGAGCCGCTGCCAGGAACATCGCCAAGGCCTTTTGCGAAGTGCTGGAGGCCTGGCAGCGTGCCACGCAAAAAGACAGCGCCTCCGTCTTTTTTGTGGTTTGCGCAGGCGGAGATGCGAGAGGCGGAAGGTGGAGAGCTCAGTCGGAGTGTCTCAAACCCAGCTCCGGTCCCTGTCCTCCGAAGATTATTTAATGTTTCAGGCTAGAATATTGGGAGACAACATGAGTGTGTGGGCCAAGGTCCCTAGAATAAAGGGAGACAACATGAGTGTGTGGGCCAAGGTCCCTACTTGAGTATGCCATGCCCGGAATTGGGTCTGTGATTTTTGGGGAAAGGAATTCGGACTTGAACTGGGCTTCGCATTCTTAGGCCGACTCAAGAGGCAAACTTAGGCGACTGGCTGGACAGGGTCCGAGTGCGCCAGGCACGCCAACGAGTGAGGACGTGCTCGTTGTCGAGGCGGGAAACCTGCGCAGTGAGCAAAGCAAACATGCGCCTCTAGCCGCCATGCAGTTTGCGCAGGCGGAGATGCGAGAGGTGGAAGGTGGAGAGCTCAGTCGGAGTGTGTCAAACCCAACTCGGGCCCCTGTCCTCCGAAGATTTTTTAATGTTTCAGGCTAGAATATTGGGAGACAACATGAGTGTGTGGGCCAAGGTCCCTAGAATAAAGGGAGACAACATGAGTGTGTGGGCCAAGGTCCCTACTTGAGTATACCATGCCCGGAATTGGGTCTGTGATTTTTGGGGAAAGGAATTCGGACTTGAACTGGGCTTCGCATTCTTAGGCCGACTCAAGAGGCAAACTTAGGCGACTGGCTGGACAGGGTCCGAGTGCGCCAGGCACGCTATCGAGGGACGTGCTCGTTGTCGAGGCGGGAAACCCGCGCAGTGAGCAAAGCAGTGGGTTGATCTCAAACTCCAAAGAAAGGCTCTGCTTTTGGGATTCCTTCAGAAACCCACGGCGATCCGTAGTCCAGGTTCCCGCTTGTTGCCTTGTGACAGGATCAGGAGGCGTCGCAGCTGGGGCCAGTTCCTGCTGGCTGAAAAACAGACGCGCGCAGATGGCCGCATTGTCTTTTCTAGGGCACCCTTTTCAGGTTGTTGTTTTTTGTTTAAAGGGAAACCAAAGGGAAGACCGAAACCGCAAAGGGCCGCCTTGTCGACGTTTCAAAGTGGTGTTCCTTTAATTCGCAAAGATTGCGCCTGCACTGTCACCAGCACCCAAACAGCACCCTGAACAGTATCCCACCTGCACCAGCACCCCAAATTGCATGCCCCCTAGCACCCGACCGTCAATCTTCCAAAAATGTGCCTGCACAGTCACCTGCATGCCCCCTGCACCCCGCCGTCAATCTCACAAAACTGTGCCCGCACTGTCACCAGCACCTCAAACCCGCCCACAATGCCTCTTGCAAAACAGGTGCAGCACTTTCGCAACGGTTAGGCGCAGATAGATAGATAGATAGATAGATACATAGATAGATAGATAGAGGCGGAGAGAGAGCGAGGTAGAGAGAGAGCGAGGTAGGTTGGTAGGTAAGTAATGGAACGATACAAAGAATAATAGATAGATCAATAGATAGATAGATAGATAGATAGATAGATATATAGATAGATAGATAGATAGATAGAGAGAGATAGAGAGAGATAGAGAGAGATGGATAGATAGATGGATAGATGCATAGATGGATAGATGGATAGATGGATAGGCAGATGGATAGATATAAATAGATGGAGAGAAATACATATGGATAGATGTTTAGATAACTATATAGATAAAGAAATAATTTATGTTGGTTATATTTATAATTAATATATATATATATATAATAATAATATAAATAAAATTATACATATGTTTTAAATTAATACATTAATATATATATATATCATAATTTTAAAATTATTTAGTATTTATTTATTTATTTATATATATCTATATTTTAATTTTTATATATATTTATTTTAAATTTATTTTAATTTGATATATTTTGATTATTTTATATTGTATTAATTTATAGTTTTTTGTTTATTTATTATTTGTTTGTATTATAGATAAATATATTAATACTATTATATATTTATTATTTAAAAAAAATGGTTTTAAGAATTTATTTATTATTTAGGATAAATATATATTTATTATTATATTTTTAAAATATATATTAATTTTAAAATAATTAATATTATGTTTAAATATTAAATTGATAAATTTATATTTATTAATTTATACTAAATTATAAATTTATATAGAATATTTTAAGTATGATGAATTGGTTTGCTTGATTTTGTTTATTATTTTTGATGAGTGTTTTGATTATTTTTGATATATGGTGGTGTTTTTTTCGATTAGTGGAATTATTTTTGTTTTAATTACGAGGATCGAGATTTTCGGTTTTTTTGTGTGTTTGGTTTGGGTTTCGTTTTCGGAGCGGGGTGATATAATCTTCGTGTTTAAAATGGCGTTGGGTTGTGGGTGGGACGAGATTTTATCTGCCGATTCTGTTTTGTGGTTAATGTTTTTTAGCATTTCGATTTGAATATTTGGACTGACTTGCTTATTGTAATTCTTTTGTGTATTGGGTTAGGCTCCGATTACGAGGCAAGGGTTGAGCCCCGTTCCCATTCCTCGAGCAAAAAAAAAAGAATATTTTATATTTATAATTGGATTTTTTTTTTTTTTAATTCGCGGGGCTTAAGTGTGTAGCAGTAATATGATGTAAGGAAAAGATATGGAGAAGGGGATTATACGATATATATATCGTTAATATTAATAATATCTATGAGGTTAATAGATATTGTTATCGTTTCCAAAGTCTTGGCGAGATCATTATAGTTAAACGATTTTGGTAATGAAGCTAATTATTATTATTTTTTATTTAAATTATTTCTAATCTTTTTAAAGGAGGTTTTCGCTAGTAAATAGGCATTTACACGTTCAAGGCCCCAGGTGTATATATATATATTAAAATTATTTATATTAATGAAAGGATGCTTGTGTTTAATTATTGTATATATATATATTACCGATTATTTATATATTTATATTAAATTATATATTATATGTTTATAGAATAATTATATTAATTGTTTTATTGGTATTTTGGTGATTACTTAAAATACCATATAATAGAAAATATAAAATATTAGGAATACTAATAATATATATATATATTATTTAATTATATTTTTAATATAATTATATTATATTAATTATATTAATCTAATAAATCAATTATTTATTTATTAATAATATTAATGAAATAAGGATTATAATAATAAGGATTACATGATAGTAATGATGATATTAGTGGCAATAATAATAATAATAATGATAATAATAATGATATTAATGGTAATATTAATAATATTAATAATAATAATATTTACAAATTTTTTATTAGATCCATCTTTATAGATAAACACCTTTGCATTATAATCATTACTGATGATAATGATTATTATGATAATGATAATTATCATTATAATATCTTTAATATTACTATTCATGCCTAATATTAATTCGGAAATATATAATAGATTTATATAATATATCTAATAATATATAATTTTTTGCTTAGTATTTATATTATTCAAATCCTCGTAGAATTTCGTGGATTCCTTACAAAACCTTGGTGGAATATTGGTGGAATCCCTAATCGAATCTTAATTTAAAGCAAAATCCTATTTTAGAGCCGTCCCGAATCCATTCTTTATATCGCCATCTTAATAATAAGTATTATTATTCTAGATCATTTATTACAATATTAACCATATTTAGCATTAATATTAAAATATATAATTAATAAAAGAAAAATAATAATTTTTATAACGATAACGATAACGATAAAACATATTTTGTCTTTCTTATATATCTCGTCTTTGAAGATAAGGAATCTACAAATATAGAAATTAAAAATTAATATTATTAATTCATTATAAAATAAATAATTATTATTGTACAATCCCATTTTATATATTCAATATCGTGCCTATAAAAAATATTAGGAATTATATATATAATATTTATTATTCATTGTATAATCGAATTTAATAGGAATTTTCGGTTAAAATCAATTTATATATATAAAAAAGAAATTTAATCAATAATTATTATTCTAATTATTAATAATATTAAATTTATATAATCCATCAACGCCAATCGAACATAAAAATAACAATTCATAACCTAATCATCCTTCAAAATCTCTTCTTTAAAATATTTCGTACTAAAAATATATATTTCGACTAAATCTATGTATTTCTTATTTTAAAATATTCATATTAATTTAGATAAAACAATCAAACAAAAAAATATATTAATTCATTATAATTTCTATTATTATCTTCATTATCGACCTCATCCTATTAAATTCAAAAATATATAAGTATCATAATTGCTATTAACATTAAAGAAATTTAATTATTATATCCAAGTAAATAGAGTTTCAACAAAATTAAATTTGTTTTGTTATTTAATTATATAATAATTTATAATTTTAAATTATTTAAAATATTTAAATTTATAATATATATATTATTCTTGTTTTAAAAAAATAATAATTTTATATATTAAACAAAAAACGAAAAATAAAAAACTCATAATCATAAAAACAAAAAACAAAAAGACAAAAAAAAAGGAAAAATCAAAAAAACATAAAACAAAAAAGAGAGAAACACAAAAACAAAAGAAAAAGAAAGAAAGAGAGAGAAAAAACAATAAACAAGAAGAAGAAAGAAACAATATTGCTAACGGAGAGGCCCGAGGTGGAAGCAATAACTTCCCAAGAATACCTCCGGCCCTAAGAAAGACCAGCCAATGCGCTAACAAAACCTAGACAATTTATCCCTCATCCTATAGACGATAAACCGGCACCAAGAAGAAAGAGAAAGAGAAAAATCTTGTTTTTTCTTTTTCTTTTTCTCTATCTCTTTCAGGGAAAAAGAAAGAGAGAAAAAAAAGAAAAAAAGAAGAAAAAAAAAAACCAAAAGACAGAAAGAAAAAAAGAAAGAAAAAAGAAAGAGAAACAGGAAAAATAAAGAGAGAAAAAAACACATAAGCAAACAAACAAGCAAATATAATAATAAAAAAACAATCAAACACAAAAAGCAAGACAAAATAAAAAGAAACAAATGGAGCTAAAAAGAGGAGACATACGGCATGCGGCAACGCGGAAGTTTGCCATCTTTGTAAACCGACCCACAATTAAACACAGACAAATAAAAACAAACATAGATAAATATCACCAAATAAACAAATATAAACACATAAAAATAAACAAAAACACACAACAAAAAACAACGAAATAAAGACGAACAACAAACACAGACATATAGAGACAAACAAAGACAAACCAAGACATCCCGAAAGACAGAAAAACACAGAGAAACACAAACACTAAAAAGAAACAAATTAGACTACACAAAAATACACAAAAAT